TAATTATGGGCCCCTGTTGTGATACTTCCTTGCTGGGTGCATAGGAAAGTCCCTGCCCCACTGATTTCGCAAGCAAAAATGAGTGGGGTTGGCAGTGGGGTTACCCCACACTGCAGCTGCAGGCCTGGCCATGGGAAGGAATTTGGGAAAGAGTTGGGAACTGGCCTTGTACAGCTCAAAGTCAGATCTGGTTTGTCTTCAGGATAAATGATATTATTGTGAATACAGGGTAAAGAGTTGAGATGAAGGAGGGCAGTCCTCCTCCAGCAAAGTGAGCATTCCTGAGGGTGCTGCACATTCCTGAACATGGTGTTGAGATGAAGGAGGGCAGACCTCCTCTAGCAAGCGAGCATTCCTGAGGGTGCTGCACATTCCTGAACATGGGTCCTGTGGGGATAAAGTGTTATTTGCTTCTCAGGATGGAGCATCCAGGGAAAACCACCAGTCCCAGAGGTCAGGGGCTCAGATGCTGCTGAGAGGTTAAAAAGATGCTGTGACACATCACAAGACGAGTGACAGTAGAACCCCTGGCTCACAACTTAATAATTTCCTTCAGGAACAACTGAAGTTGCTGTGAAGCCAAATATCTTTTATTCTTCCTATGGGGTGGGTTTGCCAGTCATCCAAACCTGACATGGACTGGAAAACTGCTTAACTTGGGACCTGCAACTCTCTCTGTCCTGCAGCATTTGTGCAGCTTGTGTGAAGAGCAAGCCTTGCAGCCTGCTGCAGCTCTTTGGCTGTTTCTACCTCTTCTGGTATTGAAGAAATTCTGGGGACAGCCCTGGTGACTCAATAAAATGACGGCTGGGTCTGTTCTGTTTAATAGTGTCACCATTAAACAATGTGTGGGAGGTGAGAGGCAGTACCCAGCACGTAGTCTGGTCTATTAACTGGATGTTTTAGAGTCACCAATGTGTTTTTCTGGGTTATTAGTGACACTTGTAGAAAAGAAAAAGCAGGGAAGTGAGTGGGGGTCCCACAGGGTGGGAAGGGATGTCAGAGCTGGGGCATTGCTGGGCTCCCCCCATTCTCCTCCTGTGGGGAGGGGACTTGGGGCACACCACGCTCCCCAGGCACCACAGCTTCACTGAGGAAGAGTTTTACCCATCTCGGCCTCGTTGTTTTCCTCCAAATGTTTTGTGCCCGAGCTGCCTCCCACGCCCTACCTAAGGGAACTGTCCGGTTCAAACCACCGCGCCCCAAATTCCCCTCCGGCTTCGGCGGGACGGGGCAAAGAGGCACCTCCTTCCCACACGCAGCAGGATTTGAATAAGCAGGTGAGAGCATCGGCCTTCCTCCTCAGGGCGTTTGATGATTGACCAGAGCTCATTCCTGCGGCAGGGCGCCGTGCCCAAGCGCAGCCCCGGCTCTCCCCGCGCAGCCCCGGCCCCGCCGCCACCATGCCCGCCCGCTGCCTGCTGCTCCTGGGGCTGCTCCTGCAGCTGGAACCTGCCTTCTGCCAGGAAGGTAAGGGCGGGAGGCTGCCTGACATCCCGGGAAATAGAGGCAGGGAAAGGCAGCCAGCCCCGGGCAGGTGGGAGCTGCTGCTGGGGGACAAGGGACAGCTGTGCAAGAGCGTCTTGGGAAGGGAAAATTCATCCCTGCTCCTGCCTGAGCTTAGCTCTGGCTTCACATCAGGATGGGTGGGTGCCCGTGGGTTCAGGGGTGTTGCAGGAGCTGGGATATAGAGACTTTCTACCTGTTTTGCAGAAGGCTGAATCTGCCACCGGCGGTTTATCTGAGGTGCTTGCACAGAGATAAACTGCTCTGCTTTACCTCTGGCAGGACTGTGCAGTGACATGAGTAATCTGTTTTCTTAAGGCTTCTTTTTTCTTTCTTTCTTTTTTTCTCACTCTTATCCTTGAGCAAGTGTTGTTCTGGGTTGCTCCCTGAGCTCTCTGATCCTCCTGTTAATCTGTAATTTTGATCATTGCTGAGGAGAGGGAACAAATATTTTCCTCAGCAAATTGACCTCCTCTTCCCAAAGACTTAACAGAGAAATTTCCTATGCTAAGGTAATATTTTTAGGAAATTCACTAAGGACTTCTCTAGTGCTAGAAATAATGAGTAGTAATTAAAACTCATCTGGTGCCGCCAAAGTCCTGGAAAATTCCCTCCCCCTTTCTCCTCCTGATGCCCCAGCCCTGACCACTCTTCCTGTGTTTGTTTACCAACTTGCTGAGGATTTAACAGTCTGGAGTGTCCATTGTCAGCAGGGTTGAAAGTTTTGCTTGGAAAAAGTTGAACAAAAAAAGTCCTTTAATGAGGATTCAGAGCCTGGCACAGCTTCCTTAGACAGCAGAAAAGACAGGCCAGCCAAAGCTTTCCAGACACTCAGAGAAGATGTATTAAAAAGCAGGTCTGTGTCTTCAAATTAGCTGTTGAGTATGGGAATGGAATTGCAACAAGTGCACAGGCTTATTCTGGCACTAGCACTTCCCTTGGTCTGGTTTGTAGCTGCAGCTGTGAGGAGACACATCTGCCAGAGCTGCAGATTCCACACTGCTTAGCTTGGCTTTGGAGATCTTGTTTGTGGGGGAAAACCCCATCATTACCATGGGGCAACACAGCGAGGAGGTGGCAGAGCCCAAGGGACAGGCTCACCCAGGAGGGGCATCCCCGGTGAGGCATTTTTCCAGGAACACAGTCCTGTTTGCACAGGTGAGACTCATCCTTTCAGCCATCCCTCCTGGCAGGGCAGCAAGGTGTGCTGGTGGGACTGCAGCCAGGCAGTGCCCCCGAGGGCTGGGACACAAACATTTCTCCCTGAATAGATCCTATCAAGCTCTTGCTTCTGCCTGATCCCCATTCCTCCTTTCTTATGCCCGTGCAAGTTTCCCAGCGGTATTTCAGAGGCATTTGCCATTCCCTTACCATCCTTATCTCCCCCTGCAGCCAGGCCCCGCATGATCTCTCAAAGCCAGAAACCCTTGATTTTGGTTTGGTGTTTTCCCTTTTGGCTTTGGATGCTCTGGAATCTGGTGGAAACAGCCACAGGAGTGAGATTTCACTGGCAAAACCATCCAGTACCTCCTGAACATGCTTGCTCCAAGGAGGTCTGCTACCACTTTTCTTCCCCTCTCCTTTCCTGGAAGATCACGAGATGCAAATTTGGCAGTTTAAGTCGTTGCTGACTTCATTCCCTGGTTGCCCTTGAACTCCCTTAACCCCAGCAGGAACCTCACCAAGGGCTTGACCAACCCCCCACCCCCCCGCAGACTTAGGCTGGAAACCTTGGATCGGGCAGGAAAAATAAACTACAACTAATAAATAAATGTGGCCAGCAGCCAAGGGCAGAGTGAGGGAGGAAGCAGAGCGAGCCAAAATTCAGCCAGGAGGCAATAGGTGTGTTGGGGGCTGCACTCACGGGGGGGGTGGGCAGCAAGGCAGGAGCATCCTTGACCACCAGGCAGGGCAGGAGGGAACCGAGCCCTGCTGCTCCCCGCTGTCACCACCCCTGGCTGCCAGCAGCGGCAGCCTGCTGATACAATGGTATTTCAGTGGAAACACGCTGATACGAGAGGGAATTTCCGTCTGAGATCCTCCTGCTTGGGTTTCTGCCCTGGGACCTTGCAGAAACACGACAAATGTCTCTGTGGGGAGAGGGGGCTGAGAGATGCTACTCAGGGCTGTTCTCACAGCCCCTTGCCCAGGAGTCCTTTCCAGACTGGCACAGCTGGCCAGGCTGATTCACTTCCAAGAGGAAAAAAACCCCTGTGTTTTGGAGGTTGAGGTTTGCTGTTGTTTTATTTATTATTTTTTATTTAAAAGTCTCTTGCAGTAAAGACTCCAGGAGCTGGGGGTGCTACCAAAGGACAGTCTACCTCCCCAAAATCAGAGGGAGGAGAGGAGAGCTGTTAGCAGCAGAGCCAGTGTGAAGCTGTCTGTGGTTTAGGAGTTGGCACGTGTGGAGCACCCAGCCTGCTCTTACCACTGCTAGTAAAGATTATTTTCTGTTTATAGCAGAGGGCTGTCTCCTGTGAGACAGAGTAAGTGTTCAGTGTAGAGTTCCTGAGGGAGACTGAAGTACCCAGTGCTCATCCTGGGGCAGCTCAGCCTTGCAGGTGTCCCTGGCTGGGGCTGGGTGTCCTGGGGCTGATGCTGGGGCTGGCAGGTGTCACCCTCCAGCTGCCCCTGCAGAGGGACCACAGCATGTGCAGGGGTTGGTGTTTTGATGAGGAAAAACTGCGTCTGAGTAAATAGTAATTAAATCTCAAAGGCTGTATGGACAAGGTGTCCTGTAGTGCTGATGTGAGTGCTTAAGTGGCACTTAAGGATGGATTTGACTACTGTGAATGCTACATTGTCCAAAATCCAGTGGCAGGCAAGGAGCAGCCATCCCAGCAAGGGCTGGGACAAGGCTTCCTCTTCTCACTGCCTGCCCTTGCATCCTGCCCACATCCAGGAATGTGTCTCACAGCCTTCCCACCCGTGGCTGGATTCCTGCTTAGGTCTGGATAGAGAAAAATGAACTTGTCAGTCTGTTCCATCCCTGGGGGAAATGGGGCTATCCCAGCCAGCTCCCACTCCTCCACCCCAGTGCTGCTTGGGCCCCTGCCAGCCCCACCTGTTCTTTGTGCTGAGGTTATTCCTCTGAATGGCTCAGCCTTCAATTTCTGTCATAAATCATTTGCTGCTCTGGAAACTTGTTGAATGGTGCATTTTACCAAAATCCACAATGACAACTTTTTGCTGTGGGAGTGGCAACCAAATCTTACACTCTCCCTGTTATGGAGTCCTTATTTTACCAGTCAGTATTTGAAAAATATCCCAGGAATGATGTCTGTGGCATATGGGGACAGAAAATAAGCAGTTTGATGAAACCCCTCTGCCTTCCTTCCTTTGGCAAACATTCTCCTTCACTCCCTTCCTCCATGTCCCCCAGACCTTTTCTCCCCCATCACAGGGTCACCAGCCCCCCAAGGTGCATGTTTATGTATTTGTGTGTGGATGTCAGTGTACATGGGGCTCCAAAGCTGCCAGGCACCACACTCCACATGCAAACACCAGTGAAAATGCTGTTAATTGTACTTTATTTCATTGCTATCACCCAGGTAAGCCTGCCTGAACCGACAGCAACGTCCTGCTCGGATTTGCAGGATCAAGCTCTCATCTGGACCTTGCTGAAGCTGGATGGGAGGAGCTGGGCAGATAAACCTGAGGATGAATTCCTAACCTGTGTCTTTTCTCTCCCTGCAGCGCGGGGCAGCCTCCAGCCGTGGTCGCAGGGCGTCATCGCAGTGGTTGTGTTTCTAGTCCTGGTGGCCATCGCCTTCGTGGTCAACAGGTTCTGGTGTAAGGATAAAGTGTAAGTGTGGGAGGTGGCTCTGAGCTGGGCTCAGCCGCCATGGCACGTGTCACTTCCAGCAGCCTCCGTGCATGTGCCAGCATTGGGAACACCGTGCTTGCTGTGCCGGGAGATGGGCCGGGAGAGCAAAGACTCCCTGTCCTCATCTTCCTGTCCTTTTGTCCCTGTCCTGGTCTCTGATCCCTGTTACTGATTGCCAGGTGGGAGCTTGCACCACACAAAATCTGCCATGAGAAAACTGCTATGCTTTTGGATATGGCAAAACTTTTGGGAATGGCAAAGCCACAGCATCATGGCTGGATCACATGGGAACATGTTCAGGGGGCTGGCCCAGCCTGGTTTTCTGTGGATTTTGGGGGTGCAGCTCCCATGTTCCTTATATCCATTGGGTAATAACCCTGAACCAGCTTTTTTTGCAAAGCAGACAGAGCCAAGATATGAGAACACACTGAGAGGAGCTGGGAGAAAGGGAGGTAGCCAAGTCATGGCAGTACTTTCCACCTGGAGCCCATGGCACAGGCAAATGTGGTGTCTTTATTCATCTGAAAAAGGCTCTGTGGGGTGGGTTAACTCTTACCTCATGCTGGCCAAGCAGAGTCACAGGCTGCTGCTCCTGCTCAGCCCAGCAAGGCCAACTGGCTAAGCTGCAGTAACCTGATCTTGAACCTGATCCCAAAGGCAACAGGGGATGAAGACCAAAAGCACCCCACATCTATTTCCCAGTTTCTCTGCACTGGTGTGGTTGCTTTAGGCTGGAGCCTTCTTGCACCTGTACATTCCTGCAGCCCCTCCAGGCTGGGCAGGTGGGCAGCTGGTTTATCCTCTGAGCATCAGCAGGTCATCTTTAGCCCCAGAGGCATTTTAAACAGGTCCCTTTGGGATACATCCTTTGGCATGCATTCTGGGCCAATGCATGATACAGCATGTGTGTGTATATATTTATATATATATATATTTATATGGTCTGATTTGCCACTGTGGTCTTTGTTTCCCAAAAAGGAACCTTTGTCCTCAAACTGAAGGAACACCCAGCCCATGGATTGGCAGGCAGGGATGGTGTTTCCCACTGCAGCCTGTTCCTGGCTGCCTTTTCCCAGCCTGGAGGCAGAGGATGCTGAGGAGGGCTTGAGGAGGGAAGGTGCCTTGTTTTAATTAATCTGGCCTTTCTTCAGAAGAGCAGGAGCGAGGCTCAGCAGCCTGGAGCCCTGCCAGCTCTGCGCTGTCACTGTGACAGCAGCTATCAGCTCAAGCCACTGCCTGTTTATGACAGGCTGTTCCTTGGAAAAGCCTCTGAAATTGCCCTTGGGCAAGTCCTGGAGGCAGGGCCGTGCATGCAGGGTGGACTGCACCCACCTTCTGCAGCTAAATCCCCCTGCTGCTGCTCAGGCTACAGGCTCGCTCCAGAGCCGAGCTTCTGGAGTCTGGCTCCAAACACCCCATCCCTGCCCAGTGGCTCCTTCTACAAGTGATCCAAGCTCACTTTTGAGAGAGAGCAGTTTGGCTTTTCTCACATGGATGTGCACAAGGACAGCCCTCCTGTGCCAGGGCTGAGGCACCAGAGGAGCCTTGACTGCTCTCTCTGTGTCCATCGGGATCCACAGGGACTATTTTGCAACAGATTACACGGGAGCAGACTGGAAAAACCAGTTAGCAGGAGAAAACAATCCCACGTATTGACAATGAGTCCTGCTGACTGCCAGCACGATGCCGGGAATCACCGCTGTGGAGACAGGGGCTGGCACTTGGCACAGCCTCTGCAAACCTGCAGTGAGGGTGTTCCTCCTTGTCCTTGTCCTGCTGGGAAGGCGGCTGAGGGGTGTCTGAGGACAGAATCACATCCAGGTTGTTTATTGTCTCTGTGGTGTCATCACCAGTAAGAGGCTGCTCCCCTGCATGGCTCCTTTGCTGCTCTGTCCAAACTCCTCTCTTCTCTCCCTCCAGGGAAAATGCTGAGAACGTGGTGAGTGTGGAGGACAAGCCAGATGCTGTCACATCCAACGGCCATGAAGGGAGATATGTATCAGCTGCAGCTGACTTCAGGTGAAGGACCTGCTCAGACTTTTTCTCCATGGCTCCCAGGCTCTGTTCTGTTCCCCTGGGGACAGCTCAGACATGCAGAGTCATGGTCTCACCCACTCAGGGTCTTACACATCCCATGCACCTATCTTTGGGGCTTTTAACCTTTCCAGGGGCTAAGCACAAGGCAGTGAGGGAGTAGCCCCTTCTTCCTCATCTCTCCCTATCTCTGCAGCTGAGCCCCATGATCCATGCACCACCTCACAACCTGCTACACCACATTTTTCTTAGGCTACATCACAGCTTTCCAACAGAAGAAACCATCAAAAGTGACCACCAGTCACCACATAGATGGTGACAGCCAAGACAGCCCCACTAACAATTAGAGCAATTCCCACCCCACACTTGGCTCTGGTCCTTTCAGGATGACCCTTCCTGTGGTCCCCATCTCACCCTTCACTCAGTGCACAGCTGGCACCAGCAAGGTCAGGACACCAGTGGTGGCTTTGGGAATGCTGGTCTTGCTGGGACTGAGCTGAGCTTTGCACTTGTCCCCCTTGGTGCAGGTCCAAAGAGAACCAGCACGCCTACGAGAACACCGTGGAGCCCGAGGAGAAGGTGATCACCACGGCCATGTAGCAGCACCCACCCGCCGCCCTCCTCCTGCTCTCTATTCGCTTCCCACTATTGCCATGGGCATTTTCACAGAGACCCTCTGGCCTGGCACCCCCTGGGAGTGAGGGGCCCTGGCGTCTCCACGGCACCACCACCTCCTGATCTTCTCCTTTTCCACCCATGGGACATGCTCTTGTCCCTCTGGGGCTGGTGTCCACACGGGCATCGGTCCCCAGGAGAGGTCTGGAGGTGCCACCCCTCCTGCATGGTGGTCACCCCAAGTCCCAGGAGGGTGTTGACCTGTTCAAGACACAGAGGGGATCCTGCTGGGTGCCTGGGACATCCCCACGCTCCCAGCTGCCCTCCAGGGAGCTGCTGATGGAAAACGTGCTCTTTTCTCCCCAGTTCACCCTCCTTTTTGTGACCTACACCATGCATTTTAATGTCAGAACAAACCTCCCCCTCTGTACATATATTCCTGGTGAGCAATAAAGAGAATTGTTGCCTATGACAGCAAAGAGAGTCGTTCTGCTAATCAGCCAAAGGACTTTCTGGCATCTCATAGCTCTCCCAGCCTTCAGGCAGTTGGGAGAATGAAGGACATCAGGGAATGTTCAGCATTTGGACTGCCTAGGAGCCTCAAAGGGATTTACAGGGAAGTGAGAGCATCATTCCCTTCCGTTTGCCAGGTGGGGTTACTGAGCCACAGAAACAATCCAGCACTTCTCAGTGCTGCTTTATGGGTGAAAGGCAGCACTCCCTGAATCCCACTGACCCCAATGTGGACCCTGCAGCCAACTGGGAGCCATTTCCAGGGCTGGAGGCTGTCAATGGCAGTCATTGATCAGTGCTGCCAGGAAGTGGCCAGGGGCTACTCTGGCCAGTGCTGGCTCTCCTGGGGCAGCCGGCCACAGTGCAACCTGCTCCTGCCAGGCTGCTCATTAACCAGGGTCTGCCTTTTGCTGTGGTGGGGACAGTGCCAGGGCCACCATGGGAACAATGAGCTGTTGTTCTAAGCTGTGGCATTTGTAGACTGAAATGAGAGACCTCCGATGCTTCAGTCATTCCTGGAACATCAGTTACTCCAGTGGCATGAAGGGTCCTCTTCCTGACCATTGAAGAAAGGATTAAGGGACTCTACAACCAAGGGCAGCCCAGCTGGAGCAACACAGGGGTGGGAGATTTATAAGAGGGTATTTTTGGCAGCCCCTGGTTTTTGTGGGAGTGAGGTGTTTCTAGAGCTGTGCTGTGCACTTCCCACAGCTGAAGCTGCTGATGTCCCTAACAAGTGGAGACACAAAAATTCAGACAAGTGTCTTCCAGTAACAGCCCCACCTCAAAAGGCATTTTCCCTAGGGTCTGAGGTAGGTGAGTATTTTGAAAATGCCCTCAAAGACTTGGCATTGTGAAATTACAGCTCTCACTGAAAAATTGCATGGGCGTTGAAGAAAACAGGCAGAAGGGTTAGAGGGGTCAAGCCCTCAGATGTGAAGGCAGAATGGCTGCATCCCCAGAGCTGTTTCCATCTACCACCCTCCCTTGGGTAGCTGGAGGCTGAGCCAGCCCCAGGCTGGGTCCTGGACCACCCCACTTATGCTCCTGATGGATGCTGCTCCCCTGACTTTCACAGGTGCCAAACATCACGTGGGTTTGGAAAAAACCAAGCTCCTCAAGGTTCAGTGGTACTGCTGCACTCAGCAGGGTTTAAGGATTAGTCATTGCCTGTTCCTGCTCTGTCAGCACTTGGGCTGGGGGTGTGGCAAGAGGAAGGGAACCCATTAATTTTTTACCTCTCAGTTGCAAAAGACAGTAACAATGTCATCCTTATAATGAGTAACAGCAGGAGTTCATTCCCTGCCCTGTGTACACAGTGAATGTGTGACTGATGCCCGAGCTGTTCACCCTGCAATGCTTGGATGTGGGTTTGGAGTGGAGGTGTGCTCAGAGGGTCTCAGTGTCCCTTTCCCCACGGATCCCTGCCATGGCTGTACGTCTGAGCAAGGACAATTCGTCACTGCTGGGCTTGCCCAGGAGCTTCCCTGCTTGTTCTTATCACAACCAGTTACCCTTTGGAGTCCTCTTCGCTGGGGAAAGCGCCTTGTGCAGGGACCAGTGCTATGTCCTAGCAGGATCTCACCTCTGCACTGCCCAGGGTGCTGTCCTGCCTCAGTTTCCCTCGTCTGTGTGTGAAGCAGAAGCCGAGGCTGACGGAAGCTGCCTTCCCGCGAGCTGTGCAGTCGCTCGCAGATGCTTCTCGGTGTGATCCTAAAAAGAACAAAAGGGAGCAAGCATAAATGAAATTTATTGTTGGAAAATCTTAATTAGATTTTAAGCCCCAAAGGGAGAAAAGTGAGGTATTATCTGACACAGCTAATGAGTGTTAAGGGTCCATTGTTATATCTCTTGTTTACCTTTCTGTACTGGCTGATACAGCCCAGATCCTCGTCTGTACTGCCATAATTAGGATATCTCATCTCTTGCTGATAGGGTTGGGATGCTCTTTAAAGCACAATGCTGTCTCATCCCTCCCTGGCAGAATGAGCGTGATTGGGAAGACAACTTCTGGCGTGCCAGTGCTCGTGCCTTCCACACAGCCCCCATGAGCTGGGGAATGTCCTCCAGAGTCCGGGTTGTTCCTGAGACCCCCGGGTGAGGGGCACCTCCCAGAGCCTCAGAGACATCTCTGAAGGGCCCTAAACCAACTTGCCTGAGGGCCAAATCCCCTCCAACACCTCTCCACACAGCACAGTGGGGTTAAAGTGTCCTTCACAAGCCTCACCCTGCCCACCAGTGAAGGGTAAGGACACCACTTATGGAATGGGAGGTGGGAGTTCTCCATCCCACCCCCCATTCCATAATGCCATTATCTCTGAAGCCTTGGGCTTCAGGAAGATGTCCAGGGCTGTGTTCTGCTGCAGACAGGATAGTCTCCTCTCGGGGAGAAGATATTCGGGGGGGGGGGGGGGGGGTGTGTGGTGTTTGCATCCCCACTTTATTACAAGGTGTATCATGACTTTTCTTTGTGACCTAGGAGGGTGCAATCCATCTCTTGGAACCCCAGATAATGAGATATCTTGTTCAAAGCCACCTTTACTCTGATGCTTCCCTGATCTCTCCTGAGGCTCTTTAGCTATGAAGCTTTGAGATGTTTCTGTTCCAGCTGTAACTGGAGTAGTTTGGGCAGGTGGACACCTACAACATAAATTATCCCAAGGTAGTTTAATTGCAGATTTGCTGTATTCAGGTAAATTGCTGCTGGAAGCAGCACCAGCTCTGTCCTTGCACCTGAGCAAACCTGGGGTTTATCTCCTGGCATTGGGCACCTTGACACCCAGGAGGTGTGATTTGGATCTCCAGAGGAAAAAAGGGAGCCTGTCCCACCCCCAAGGTCCTTTGGTTGGGGAAGAAGCTCAGCCACCCAGGTGGAAGCCAGGAGCACGGCATGGAGGGGTGGCTGTGTGTGGGCAAGGGGGCTGCAAAGTTTTTGGTCTCGATTCAAGCCACTGAAAGCCAGAAGAAAAATACCATCCATTGTTGGTTTATACACCCGTAGTAGCCAAACAAACATCCCCGGAGCCTGTCCTTATCACTTTATTACACCTGCTAGAGTGAATAGATTAAAGAGAACGGGGGAGGAGGGAGAAAGCTGAAGAATCCAGCAGAAAAACTGGGTTTTGGGATTGTTAATTATTCTCTGGGGTCTCTAATCTTTAACTGGCAAACAGCATCACTAACTGTCTTAAAGCCCCTCCTGCAACATCCTGATAATAAGCCATCTGCATGAAGGCACCCCGTTATCTGCCCTCCTCCAGCCGCCTGTGACATGGCTGGAGTGGGAGATAATGAATGTGTGGTGTGTAATAACGACACGTCATTCATGATTATCGGCCTGATACCCAACCTTTTAGCTCCATTGTTTGTGCTTCAAAAAGAGAGAAAAAAAAAAAAAAAAAAAAAAAAAAAAAAAAAAAAAAAAAAGGAGAAGGGAAAAAAGGAAAAAGGAAATTTTTGGTGCTATGGATTGGCCCGGGGCGTCTCCGTGCCAAAGGGGCTGGCTCTCGCAGCATCTCCCAGAGGGTTTGTTGGTACTCGGGAAGGACTCGACCTGGATTGGCGGCTGCCGTAGCCATGGTGACGGAGGAGCGAGCTGAGACAGCGCAGAAATGTCACCGCCTGCCAGGGAGATACTTGGGGCAAATGCACGGGCGATTAGATCTGTGTCACTGCCTGCTGCCCGGCTCCTCACACAGCTCCTTTGCTGCTCTCCCAGCCGTTTGGCGGTGGCTTGGCAGAGGAGGTTATCTTGTACAAGCTGCTGTCCAGAAACTGCCACGGTTTGAAGGTGGGGGGGTGTTTGTGCTGCTCAGTTTGACCTGGCTAAGCTGAAAACTGGAAGAATTTTCTCCTGGTTGCTGCTGCATTAGGGCTTCACGGTGCATCGGTGCTGCGAGACCTTCCCTCAAAAGCTTTGGCCCTTCAAACTGCAAACCTGGTTTAAGCATGATTCTTAACAGGAAGAGATTTTAAAGTGTTTGGCTCTGCTTACCTCAATTACTGTCATAGCTGCCTGGAATAGCAATTCATTTTTTGCATCAAAAATGTCAGCAGTTTCTCCTCTCCAAGGAGGTTACCAAGAGCAGTTTCCCTGGAGAAAGTCTCTGCTGGAAGTGATTTGGATTGGCCATTCATAATCTAGCAATCAGAAGGACACTTGGAAACAAAATGGGCAGCTTTGGTCATGGCAGTGAATAGGGTGATGGCCCCAAAACACAGAGCACTGTTCAGTCCATGGGGTGGACAGAAGCTGGGGGTCCTACCCCCTCCATTCCCAAACCAGAAAATGCTGTAGTGACACCTCTAAGTGCCATCAGATTTGTTTTGGAGCCCACCACCAAGGAGACTGGGATGGGTCTTTGTGGCCAAGGGCACCCAAAGCTCATTTCTTGGACCACCTGCTGGAGAGTAGATGAGCAGAGCTTCAAGGTGGTTTGCCTCTTCCCAGATGGGTGGCTGAAATGTCTGACAAATATGATTTTTCAGTAACAAAAAGGTGTTTTTAAACCACTGTCCTCTGAAGGTCTGGCTGTGCTGGAGCTGGGGAGGAGGACAGCAGGAGTCTGACCTTCCAGACCTGAGTCCACCAGGGTGCCAGTGTGGTGGCACTGGCATCAGCACAACCTGCAGCCAGCCACCTTCTGCAGGTGAGAAGGGGAGGGTTGGAAGAGGAACTTGGTCTTCAGCTGCCTTGCAAAATAAGCACAAGCTGCACCTTGCTGGCTAATCTCAGCATTCCTGTCCCTTTTTGTACCCACATAGCCAAAACAAAGGTCTGGATCCAGCCCGAGGAGAACTCTGTTTCTCAAAGTGAGGATGCAGCAGGGATGGGGAGCAGGAGGGCTGCAGGAGTTCTGTCAGATGGGGAGGTGCTCAGGTCTGACTGTCCTGATCTGGCCATCAGCAGAGAGCTGCTCAGGCAGACAGACAGGCAGACAGACAGGCAGACAGACACGGTTTGGATAGGTTGGTGCCCGCAGTGATCCTGGTGGTGCCAGTGCTGGGGGTGACAGCTGCACAGCCTTGGCATGGCACATATGCAGGCCTTGGTGCCTTCATTTGCCCTGAGGCCTGCTGAGTGCCCGGGCCCCGGCAGTGACAAACTTCCCCTGGGCTGTGGGTAATGCCCCAGACACACGGGGACTCTGACAGAGTGGCTGCTCTGCCGAGGGAGGGGACAGGGATGTCCCCAGGAACAGGACACATCGTCTGCCACGCTGGGCCTGGCCGTGCTGCCTGCCAGGCCCGGGGGTTTTACCGGGGACCGGGGAGAACTTTTTCTGGGTCTCCCACTGCCACCTACTGATCCATTTCACACCCTGGACCTGCAGCTCATCCAGATGGTCCACATGGACTGGTGCTGGGGAAAGGCTCCCTGCACCCCCACAACAAACCCAATTCCAGGGCCCGTGCTCACCTGCACCCCTTGGCAGGCCACCCTGGAACTGAGCAGCCAGTTTTTAGCCTCTGCAGGACAGAGTTTGAGGCAGACTCACATCTCTTGTTTTATTTTGCAAGCTGACTTTGTTCTTACCACCAGCACTTTTGTGTGTGCGGTGTGTATTTCTGTTTTGCTTTGTTTGACCACAGAGCATTTCAGTTGTTTCCTTACCATTGAAGTGCCTGGAGTCACAGGTGAGGTGGTGGATGGCGTGGGATCTGTGGAAACAGGCTCAACAGGGTGCATGGAAGCAGTGCTTGTGGATGAGAAAACACTGACAGCACTGCACCCTTGGGCGCAGCCTTGCCTCTGGCCTGCTGGGACTTCTCTTGTACCCTGCTGGACCCCCAAATGCGAAGGAAGCCAAAGTCATGCTTGGAGATCATCCCCACAAGGCTTTATTTTCATTTCAGAGAGGAGAACAATGCTGATCACACGCTGTTTCCAGTGTGCCAAGTGCTTCCTCAGGTTAGCTGGTGGCGTTTTCTGTGCTGGCTCCTGAGCACCCTGAGCTCAAGGAAGTTCAGAGCTGGGGCAGAAAACAACCACAAGCATTCATCTCTGTAATGGTGGGCACAGTGCCAGCCCCAGAACAGGAATTGTTGGGAGGGGCGTGTGTGGGGATGCAGGGAGGATGCTGGGAGGGCCCTCCTGGCCAGGCACACCCAGGCTGGAGGCAGGGCAGGGGCTGTGCTGGGGCAGTGCCCAGGCTTTGGGCATCCCTGCAAACCATGCTGGGTGTTGTTCACTGCCAAGCCCATTGGGGAACTGACAATGGGACAAACCTACAGGCAGGTGACAGAAGTCCTGTCAGGGAGTGTGTGAGGGCAGATGTGGAGACGAGCAGGACATGGAGGATGCCTCTGGAGGTGAAGGATGAGCCACAGCAATGCTGTGGAACCCCCTTGGCAATGCTGCTCCCCTTGCAAGGAGGGGAACTGAACCTGCTGGGTTTGGTGTTTGTGGGCTCAGCAATCCCCTCCGGATGACAGTAGGACAGGGGATAATATGCGAGAGGTCCACTGTGGGTCTGTTTGGTGATCCTCTCTTAAACCTGTGGGTGAAGGGTGTCCCTTGGGAGAGCTCTGATCCCTGTGGGATCAGAAAATCTTCTTCAAATGCAGGTGTATCCCGTTGCTGGACCTGAGGATGATCTGTGGTATCATTATGGGAAGCTTGGATGGGTCTGGGTAGAGCTCGAAGCGCTTCAGGGTCAAGGCCAGGGCCACCTTCATCTCATTCATGGCAAACTGCTGCCCGATGCAGTTCCTGTGGGGAGGGGGACAAGTGCTCTGATTGCTGCCTTCATCCCCAGCCACCCCGAGCTGCACTCACCCCATGTGAGAGCTGGGGCACCTCCAGCTGCTGCGAGGATGACACCACAGCTTATCCAGTAAGCCCCTGATGCACCTAGCTCTTCAATACCAATGGTGGGGTGTTGCTGTTTATTTTATTATTAAACATTGAAGAAAGAGACGAGATTGAGAGAACAGGGGCTTACTTCAATAGGAAGTGCAGCCAGGATCCAGATAAAAACCCATACACCCCCAAAAGGTTATTTCTGGCTCTGTGAGGTGATCCTCTTGCAAGCTACTGAGACCTCAGTATCCTACATCTATCTACTGATACAGTATGGGACCCATGGAGACTTGGCCCCTTGGCTTTGAGGCACTCTAGGACTCACCCCTAAACAAGCGACTGGTGTTCCCAACACAGGCAACAGAAAATGTAAACATCTCCACAAAGCCACAAGAAAAAATGTATGAAATCCTACAGTGACCACAGAGCTGATGGAGCATGGAAATCCTATTACAGGAGATGCTGTAATAGGAGATCCTGTTACGGAAAGCCTGCTTGAGTTGGCCAAGCCAGCTTGGCTTGTGGAGACTGAGGAAGGATTAGCCTTAGGAGCTCGCATCTGAGCTAGGTCTCACATGCAAGGCAGCCTGATAGGAAGGAGAGGGATGAAGGATCTCCCACCTGGATCCAGCAGAGAAAGGCAGGAAAGCATGGGAGTGCCTCTGTGCTGAGTTCTCTGGAGAAAACCTCAGGGGATTATAAACCTGTGGGAGCAACAAAGACCATCTGGTCAGTGTTTGGTGTGATCTGAGCAGCACCAGGTTCTTCCCTGGTCCCCAGGGCTGGATGTGGCCTCTGCTCCTCCTGGGGGAGCTGCAGATGACAGTCATCTCTCTGCAAAGCCACTGAGTGGATCTTCCCCTTGGACATACCCAGGTCACCCACTACAATGCCCAAGATGACTGCAGGTGTTTTCTCATCCATGGCAGCAAGGATCAAGCCAGGATCCCTCCATTCCAGAGAGGTCTGATCCTTGTTCTCCAGACAGCCACTGGAGAGAGGCAGCTATACAGCTTTCTTCAAACTTTCCAGTTATTTCTTGAAGCCTCTAAAATATCATCTTCAAATCACACACTCTCTTGTGGGGCTTGGGACTTCTCACACCGTTCTAAGTGTGTGCAGGGCGGCTGAAAGGAGTCAGAGCATCTCTGTGTCACCGTGCACAAAGAGAGACTATTGAACACCATTTCCCAGCCCTTTGTCATGTTCAAAGCCTTTGGGGTGTTTGGTAACTCGATTGAATTTTGTATTTAGATGTGGACTGTTGGAATGACATGGGGAGGAAAAAAAACCACTGCAGGCAGGCACACGCTGTCTTCTTCAAGGGGAATGGATGTCTGGGCTCAGAGCCCATCCTCCCTTTCTTGTTATCAAGGTGAAATACCTCAGGGTCCTCCCACACTTCCCGGTTCCTGTGAATAGCAAATATGCTCAATGCAACATGGCAGCCTGTAAAAGAAAAGTGAGAAAAAGCTCATGACAGCTCAGAGTGAAAATGCAGGACAGGTGTTTTTGGGATGCTCTCCCTCCCTGGGATCTGCAGGGGCTGTTGCATGAGATCTGGCAGGGATCTCCTGAAAATCTCACATGTCAAAAACAAAGACCTCAGAGCTGGGTCCCTTTTTGTCTGTCAGTGTATCACTTTTACTTGGCCAGGAACAGCATTCCACAAGTCCCCTCTGAGCTCTGGGGCACGTCCTTGGACTATGTCTGGCCACCATTTCCAGGCTCACTGTGGCAGAAAGCTGTGGTATACATATATACAGCTACAGGAGGGAGAAGGGAGTCTGGAAGACCCTTCAGCCCTTCCACACAGAGTGTGCTGCTTGTCACAGACAGCAGCATGAAAGACAGACAAACTCAACAGACCTTCTGGCAAGCTGCGTCCATCAGGAAATGTCACGGGTTTGGAGAGCTCTCGGGACACACCAGCAACTGGTGGGAACAGGCGTAAGCTCTCTTTGATGCACATCGTGGTGTAGGTCATCTTCCCAAGATCCTCCCTGAAAGCAAACTTGCTGAGGATGCACTCAACCCCTTTGTCTGTGTCACTGACAAAGGTGTTACTGGTCTGTCCCAGTACAGATCCCCGACGGAAACCACTTGTCACTGATCTGGACAATTGGCCACCACCCACCGGATGCCACCTTCCAAACAATTCCCCAACCACTCAACAGTCTACCCACCAAATCCTTCTCTCTCCAATTTAGGGAGAAGAATGTTGGGAGGAACTATGTCAAAGGCATTCAAGGGTAAATTAAAAGAGTTCAAGATAAAGGAGTAAGTTGTAGCTCACCACTCAATGGTGTCTCGGTCTCCCAGGATGCCCTGGATCTCCTCCCTGCACCTCTGCTGGTGCTCAGGGTGCAGTGACATGCAGTAGAAGAGCCAGGAGAGCCCACTGGCCACAGTATCATGACCCTCAAACATGAAGGTGTCCACCTCAGCACGCAGGTCCTCATCAGACAGTCCAACTCCATTCTCATCCTAAGAAAGACAAGAACATGTCATTCCTAAGCACATAGGTCTTTTATTTTTATACCCAAAGGACTTGTATGATTTGGTGTCTCTTGTGCTTCCCTTCTTGTGCTGATGCACCCTCGGTGCCACATGGTTCTGTTCTTTGGCATTTGGTACTGTCATCTCAAACATTTACCTTGCTACAAAGAAGAATGTCCAGAAAATCCAGGTGCTTCTTCTTCTGGATCTTTTCAAGCTCCTTCTCATTGGAGAGCAACATCTTTCTTTCCTTTATTACCTGATCTGCACAGAGGAGAGGTCAGTTCTGTGCATCCTGTCCCTCCAGAGTACCCTCGTGTACCTGACTGCTCAGTCATCAGCTTGGACTCTATTTAAGCTGTAACCCTCTGGCCATTCCATGCTGTAACCCCACCCTGAGCCACTCCAGGGGCAAGTGGCAGAGAGGTTCAGCTGGGAGACAGGACTGGGGAGAAAGGGGCAGGAATACCTGTGTGGGTATGGGCCAGCTTGCAGGCATCCTGAAATGCGTGGCCACTGGGAGTGAAGTTGTAGAAGACATCCTTGAAGGAAAAATTCCGGATCCTATTGGTCAGGAGGTAGCTCAAGTCAAATACAGCTCTAATATAATAGTGGGAGTTGCTGTAAGGAGACCGAAGTCAAAGCTGGTATTAGCAAAATGAGTGGTGAAACAGGAGCGCTTGCTTTCCCAGGGTTTGGAAACTCAGGTGCTGACCTCAGAGTCTGGCAGCTGGAATTGAAACTGAAGGCACATTTCATGATGCTGTCTAGTGTCATCAAGCTGACATCCTGAAAGAGCTCCAGTGACCTCCTCTCTGTGATTCTCTTGTCCCATTTATCCTAGAGGAAGAGCCAGGGTGAGGAGAGACAGACCACCTTCTGTGGTCAGATCATATTTTCCTGTCCTTCTTCCCAGATCCACACTGCTAATTGCTTTCTTTTCTGGAAGCAGGGACCCTAGCTCATGATATATTCTGTGAACCTAATCTAACTCTGCCCATTTATTTTCCCAGGTATGAAAGGATACACATGAGGGTATGAAAGGATATTCTTGCAGTGGTTGATTTTATTGGCAAACAAAGAGAAAGAATAAGTGGAATGTCCAAAGGAAGGTGAGGAGAGCAATTTTAGATCTTCAAAACTTCTCCAAAAATTCAGTGAAAGTAGAAACTCTCTAAGTGCCGTCTCTTTGTCTTACTAATTTTTTATTTTCACTGTTTCATGGCTGAAAGGTAAAAGTAGCAGGAGTGGAGATTCTTACCAGCATCACTTTGACTGAGTCTGACATCAGGGTCACGTAAGATTTCAGCACATCATAATGAAAGGCTGGGGTGAGCATCTTCCTGTGCTGGAACCATTTGCTTCCTTCCAAGATCAGCAGCCCCTTCCCTGAAGCACAAAGAGCAAAGGCACAATCAGCTCCTGCAGGCTCTGATCACAGCTCTGACAGCCTTACTACTGCTTTTGGCTTACCAATCCAGGGAACTAGGAGTTTGTAGACTGCACTAGCCTTGGGATCTGTAAAAGGGAACAAATATCAGAAATGTATCAATAACTGATGAATTCAAGACAAAAAAAGACAATTGCCATTTGCCAATGCCTTCTTGCCATTGCCACAACAACTCACACTTTTTACTGGGTTTACTGGAAAGAACAAATATTGTGGTGGTAGAAGCCATAGAAGACAGTAAGACAAATGACTTTCGAACTGGGAACTGACAGGAAACTGGAAGGAACAGGCACCTGGTCTCTGTTTTGCCATGGGATACACACTGCTCCATGAAAGCTGGGACAGCCTGGGAGTTTGTGAAGAGGAGCAAAAGAATTGCAATAGCTGTGAAGGAAGCTGGCAGAGGGGATAACTCCAGGAAAGTTTCCCAGTATTTTCTTGGTAGGAAATGTCAAAGACTTCTCAAAACTGGAGGCAGAGACTCACCTGCTCGGCCAAGTATGATTTTGGCATATTCAGGATGGTGAATGATTATAGTTGGCAGGACTGGTCCAAGCCATCTGGGAAAGGCATAGGGATATTCTTCTCCCCATGATACTACTTGGTGTAAAAAATTTTCAGATTTTAACTGCAATGAGAGTTAATAATGGATTAATAAAGGCAGAAAAAGAGGGGCATGTCAGGGAGAGAAGAAGTTCTTTATTGGGAAATGAAGGAAGAGTGGGTGGACTTGTCACACAGGGGCTTTTATGCTGCAAGTGGAGGAGAGGACGAGCATTGCAAAGGGACTGTGCACAAGAGGCAAAGCTGCCTGAGCCACCAAATCCCTGCAGCACAAGACAGCTCCATGGAGAGTCCCTTGATGGGCTGGTGGCAGCTGAGACACCTTTGGATGGAGCAGCTCCATGCTGCACTTGGGAGCTACAGCTGGCATAGGCAATGCCAGGATATCTGGTGGACAGGCCAGGAGGACCAAGGCTGCCACACCACTGCTCCCCAATTTCAGCAGTGCAAGGTGGGCTTACAGTGTGAAAGCAAAGCATCTGCACTATAGCATGGTGAAAATGGCTGCAATAAACACCCTGCTTTTGTGGCCATGTCTTCTTCAGCAACTATAGGGTAAGATGCTCCTTTTGGTAGAAGGTTTAATGTAGCAAAGAGACATTAATTATGATTAATATCGCTCATTATGGTTGCTTATATTTAAATAACTTCATGGAAGTCCCATGACTCTTCATTTAACAACATGATTGAAAAGAGCATGATCCTTTTTTTTGCCAAATGATGCACACCACATATCCAGCACCCTTTCCTCCTGCCCTGCAGAAGCCTTGGCACTCCCTATGCAGAAGTCCTCTCCTGTAGGAAGAGACAGGAGCAGGGCACACGCACACCCCATCCAGCCCTTCTCCATCCTGACTGATACCTTGCACAGTTGGGACAAACCACCCTGACTGAGCCCAGCTACTCCTTACCAGGTGATTGTGGCCATAGAGCCAGTGTTTTGGGGGCCCAGGAAATGCCTCCAGAGCTTTGACGATCTTCTTTCTCTCCCAGTACAACTGGAGCACCTTCAGCAGCACAAAGGTTACACCAAGCAGCGCAGACAGCTGCAGGACGGTGGCAGAAGATCTGGTTATGCTGTCCAGCAGAGATGCCATGCTGGTCCGGGACACTGCCTTCTCCTGCCTGTTTCTCACCTGCTCCTCTCACGCCTGAGCCAGGTAGGGAGCTCAGAGCAGGTAAAAATCCTCTCCCTGCTCCTCTGCAGGAGCTGAGCCTGGCAAAGTGGAGCTGGCAGCACAATTTATAGCTGCTGGAACATCAGGGCAAACATTGCGTCAGCTCAGCCAGCAGCCTGTGCACCACTTCCCCTTTGACCTGCTTTCTGCAGCCTGTCCCTGCAACCTGGAGAACAACCAGCCTCTGAATATTTCCTGCTTTTGCTGAAGTTCCAGCAGCACTGTCACACCCACGCACAGTCCTCCATGCCCAGGTGGATGAAGCCAGAGGAGGGAGCAGGTGAGATGTAGGCAGGCTGGGGCTCTAGCTGAACTCCGTGCTGTCCTCAGAGAGTTCAGATGTAGAAGGTGTTCATGTGCCCACAGGAAGAGGAGCACACAGGCCACCTCTTCTCTATGAGTGGGCTGCATGGAGTGAGCCACCTTCACCTGTGAAAGCAGTGCCCTGGGTGCCTGCAGCATCACCCAGCTCTGCTGGGCTGTAAGCCAGAGAACGGGCAGCGCTCCAGCAGCACACGAGGGATGTGGCCCTGCTCCCCAAGGACTCCTTCCACGGACAAGCCAGAAGACAAAACTGCTGCCAGGGGAATTACCATGGTCAGTAGATGAGACAAGGAGAGGAAAAGCTGCAGAGCAGTGAAGTGAGCTGCAGCAAGGCTGAGAGCACATGATGGGGAGGTGTGATGGCAGGGCCATGTTCCCTCTACAGGCCTGGTGAGCCCTCCTTCCTCTGTCCACACGGCATCTCACCTTCTCCAAAAGGGCTCTGCATCTCTGCATTTACCTCTCCAATGCAGTGCTTCGTTGGTTGCAGTGCTTGGCTCTCTTTGCCATCCCTGTGCAAATCCTGCTTCTTACCTGGGTTCCCATCCCATAAGCCCAGAAACCTGGAATGGCAATGTGGAGTTGGTGGAGAGCTGGGGCTGGAAGTCTGACATGTGTGGGTGACTTCCACGTAAAAAGCAGGATCCCCAGATGGGTGAAATAATGTCCCATTTGTGTCTTGGAATATTATGAGGATCAACTGGGTTATCAGCTGTGGAGGCTCGTAGTCTGGTGGGCTACAACATAGGGGCTGAACTTTGTGAGTGCTTCTTCTCAATGTAACACATCTCTGAGACAGAGGACTTCTGATGTTTGGGTACTTCCCTTTAGTTTTTAGTCCAAAATATGCCATGTCCCACATTTTCTGCTTGTAGGGTCATTTTGCTGATAAAACCCACTGTTTGTCTGAGGTTCATGGTCATTGCCTTGGAGAACATCCCTGACAGGCACTACACTGAGCAGTGTTACCTTTTCACACACTTGGCCATCCTCATGTAAATTAGTGTATCTTTTTATACTGAGCCAGCTGTGTCTGTGTGAAAGTTCAGGGCAGAGTTAAAGGTTGATCTTTAGGAGGCAGAAAGCTGTAATCAAGTTAGGCATCTCTTAGGGAGGGCTTTGGGTATAGCCAGAGCATAAGGGACCCAGTTTGACATGACAAACTCTCATGTGAAGACCTGCAGAATGTTCATAAGTATTATGATGCTGTGTAGTTGGGTTCCTCACAATATCTGTGCAAGGAAAAGAGGGAGGTGTGATGGCTGAGCCTTTGTTCAGTGCCAGTGGAGCTGTTTGGGATGTGATGTGGTACCTACATCATTACCAGACTGACCAGTCTGGATTTGGCTGGCACCTTTCAGAAATCCCCTGCAAAATAACACATAAATACCCCCACACCCAGAGGTGGAGGGGCCAAGCCTGTGGATGAAGCTTCTGGTGCAGCTTCAGATGAAACTTTTATAATAACACAGAAATTTTCTGTGCTGAGGGCGTCCCTGGAGAGTGAGGTTGACCATGAACAGGGTCAATTTTTACCAAACTGGCTTCCTTATAGTTATAAATTAACCAGTAAGCTCTGTTGGGTATGAAGGTAAGGGATATGGTTTGTCTTGAAGTTCATATGATATAGAGGGAACATAGGGGACAAACTGCCTAAACCCTCATTTATGGGGATTTGGAGCAAGAATCTGATCTTTGGTGACAGCAAAACTGGGTTTAATCCAGACTCCAGCCTCTGCACTCTGTATTTCACTGATGGAGGGGAGACAAAAACCTTTCTCATGTATGTCAGAGGTTTCACAGCAAGAGAAACCATGAACACTGACAGCCTGGGGAAGAAAACTCAGGGGGTTTTGCTGGGGAAGAAACGATGAAAGTTCAAAAGGCAAAGTGAAGTTGCTGCAGAGCTGCAAGTGAAGAAAAGTGAAATGGGGCAGTATTGGCTTGATCATTGTAAGGGCCTGGGACAAGGCCAGAACCATCTGTTAGCAGAGAATCTACAGCCCTGGTGATGGAGGACCCCAGAAGAAGATCTCAGAATGAAAAAGCAGGTAAAAGGGTTTTCTGCTAGCCACAGTGGTTTGGGGAGGCTGGCAGGGCTTGGCTTGATCTTCTGAACGTTTGAGACTGGTGGAACTGCACCTGGGTGTTAAAGGACACTTGGAAAGTTGTTAAACATTTGCAGAGAGCCTCTGGAGGATTATCTCAGTGGATGTCCATGTGATGGCAGAGGTGCCACAACAGTTTAGGCCATCAGCATGAAACAACCCACTTACACTGGAGAATTTCCATCCCATATCACAGCCATGGACACAGCAGGCTGTGGAATTTGCTTTCTGGGTCTTGGGGATTTCTCCACTCCCTTTAGACACCTAAGCAGAAGAAGGAGAGGATCTTCCTCACTGATTTAACTCCCATGGTCAGAATTCATTGCAGAAAAAGTGGTTTACTGAGCAGGTGAAATTTAGGTGGCAAATGGGTGCTTTGCCCCAGAGGCTGACCTTGCAGCAGCTGCTTTCCCTGGTTGTGCCTGTGTTTATTCAGATAGGAAGGAGAGTCCAGGCCCATCTGTCCCTGTGTGTTCCTGCAGCACATAGTGATGACAGATGAAATGTAGCAGTAATGCCAAAAAAAATAATAACATTTCAAGCTTCCAAACACATGATAGATGAGAAAATCATGGCAAGAGCCCAGCAAGTGTTGCAGAGTAATGCAAGCTGCCTGGATCCCATCTGACCACACATGTCTCGAGGATGAATGTATATCTGGAAGCATTTAATACAGCTGTCTGACAAATATGTAGCAATACTTATTTAATTTACTGCTGCTTCCAGTGTAAAATCCCAGTGGAGTTTAGATGGAAATTGCTGGTGCCATCTGACAGTAAATTTGCCCAGAGAGCAGCATGGGTCCTGTGCAGGGACTGCATTCCTGGTGCTGCTAGCCAACTGCTCTCCCTGCTGGTCCTGTCACTTCCAACATGCCTGGCAGCATCCAAAAAAGTGCCACCAAGGAACCGAGATAGACAGACACCCTTCCCGTGACCGGGATGTGGCTGCACAGCGCCGGTGACAGTGTGTGGGGAGAGGAATAACTGCACGAGTAGGTGGCATCTTTGCCCTGCTGCTGTGGAAAAACCAAGCCGCAATGAGAAAAACCCAAGGTGTTTTTAACTGAAACCAAGACTGACCCTTCTTGCACAGCCACCACCAGGAGCTCTTGTAACAATAGTTATCTGAAGGTCTGAATGACGCAGTCCAAGGTCAGCCCACCATCTTTGCAATTACCCTTTCTGCAAAAAGTAGGGAAGGATGAAAGAAGGAGGTAAGATCTCTGCAGCTGGACCTTGACTGTCTTTATAGCAATAAATCCCATGTAACCAGGTGTTTTTATTATTACCATATCTCTAATACCTGGTAGGGGAAAGGTAGATTTGGGGAATTGCTGTTAGGAATTAGGGTTTAGAAAGATCTGGCTTGCTCTGGCACTGGGGCACAGCAGCTCCAGAAGCCCTGTCACAGCCTCAGCCCAGCTCTCCAGTTCAGAAGCAGGGCAGCCATGGAAGCTCTGTGATGCAGGACATGAGATGATGCAGGATATGGGATGATACAGGATATGAGATATGAGATGTGGGATGATGCAGGATGCAGGATATGGGACGTGGGATGCAGGATGTGGGGTGCAGGCTGGCTGGCCTGGCATGGAGAGCTGGCCTGGCATGTGCTGGCCCATGTAGCTCAGGGAAATTGTGAGCAGGGCTGCCATGTCTTATTTAACAGAGTGTTTCCAGTTCCTGGCCTCAGGGGGTGACAGCACCATCACAGGAGAGATTTGTGAGCAGATTTTATGCTGGGTTTAGGTGGCTGCAGGGGAAACCAGGCTCTGCTCCCTTCTCATGCGAAGAAGCCACAAGCACAACTTAGAGGACGGTGAGAATGCTGCAGGGCATCTTCCCTTTTCAGATATGAAGAGGCAGCTTTTTAATGAATCCTAAAAGTCATGAGGGAGACAATGGTTGAACAGGATGAAGACAGAAGCAGTCAGGCTTTTCCATCCCAGGGCCAGGAACATCCGTGTGTTGGATCGTCCAGCTGGTACAGCTACAATGCAGCTTTTCCTGTATCCCCAATTCAACCCATTCACAAAAACCAAACCAAACTTGCCCCAGCCTTCTACCACATCCATTACCTCCTCTGGGCTTCTGGAGTATTCAGTAAAGCCAGTCACCAACTCTTAAAACCTCTGCAGATTCTCCAAATAACCCATGCCAGGGCTGTAGAAATCTTAGGGAGTGCTTGATGTTGTGCAATCTATCTACCCAAATGCAATTTAGCAGCTGCCATTTATCTACATGAGGTATGTCAAGTTCCCCTGGTGTGATCCCCTTTAACCTACTCTCTTTTAGTGGGTACACCATGATTTCAGCCTTTGCTCTTGCTCATTAGATACTCGTGCTTTAATCATTCACATTGGAATGCCAAGATACATCCACTCCTCTTTAGATGGTATTTTTTTCAAATCTTGTCTTTGTAAGAAAATTGCATCCAATACAGAGATGTATGTAATTTACTTCTGGTAACTTCAGTTATTTTGATTAAAAATTTTCTCATTTTGCACTTTAGAGTATGTAAGCTTGGAGTAGATGCTGTTGCTTTTATACTTAAATCTCCAAACAGAGTTGAAGGACACTCTCATTTCATCTGCTGAAAGAGAGACAAGTGAAAAATTTTTGAGAAATATTTGTGCTTATGCATCCAAGTATGATGTTTGCTGTGATTGCAAGAGCAGGATATTATTGATTCATATTACCTTTTCTATCTCTCCATGTACAGAACATCCACTGGAGAAATTGCTGCCTGTCAGTAATTTATTCTCTTGGTTTTGTGCCATGCCTGTGCCTGCTCTTGTGCTTATGGACTTGCTTTCCATTCACAGCAGCAGTTTTTCAATTTATCAAAATAATTTTGTATCCTGACATGGCCCTCCAAAGAGCTTGTGGTGTCTTATAGTTTCATAACTTTTGACATTTTGATAAGCATACTCTGTCTCTCTCTATTGCATAATTCTGATTTCAGCTCGAGAGCTGCACCTCGTGTCTGAAGAGGGGACAGGCAGCTGGAGCAAGTGGATTTTCTCCTGGGCTGTCCCAGCACATCCCTGCAAACCGGACCCTGCAGGTG